AATTTTATGTAGTTAATACTTAAAACTGTCAATACAGACTTTTAGTTTACTAGACAGTGAACTTTCACCTTTAATTAACTAGGATTTAATTTTATGTAGTTAATACTTAAAACTGTCAATACAGACTTTTAGTTTACTAGACAGTGAACTTTCACCTTTAATTAACTAAGATTTAATTTTATGTAGTTAATACTTAAAACTGTCAATACCTGGTGAAACTTCATGATTACAGGATTGAAAAAAGTTAAATTTTACGTTTCACAAATAATTCATTTATTAAAACTATTGCTTTGCCAGTAAAGGCAACATCAGCTTTGCCAGTAAAGGCAACATCAAGTACTGACGAAACTATGGTTTTAACAAATGAAGTATTTGTGAAACGTACAAATGTCTTTGTTTTCCTCAATTCTGTACTTAATTCTGTTTTGACAATTCAAAAAATCCTGTATCTTTTTATCAAACATGTATTAATTTTGAAGAAAAAATTTGTTGGGTATCATTTGATGTAATATTTCCTTTTTTATTTGCCTTTGTACTAGTTTGAATTATGGAAGTGTCAAATAAAATTTGAAAGTGATTTCTGTCTTCAAGAACTTTTCTTAGATATTCAGAAGGTATATTTACACAACAATGATTTTATTTTTAGATAATTAATTTTGTTACAGTCACACAATGAATACTTAAAAGTTCCAGAGGAAAACTTAGAATAAAGAAATGCCACGCCTGATATATTTTTTAATGTTCTGTGTCATAGAGGTAGTGGATATCAGAGCTACTGAACTGGATTCAGATCTATGTGATGCCTTAAAACTATTTCCTACACTTGAAACTGTGGTTGATTTATAAGAGTAACAGCATGGGTGTTAGGGTGCTGCTGACTGGCTGCCTTCCCTCTGATCAGTAGCTCAAAATTAGGAATGGTTTTATAAAGCAGCCCACAGATTGTAATCATTCTGAAAATGACCCCAGCATAAAATGCTACCAGGTAATCAACTAGATTTTATACGTTCTTCTTTATGACCAGCAGTGACAAACCTGCTATCATGAATAGTCCAGTATGACGTATAGTGTTGTTTCATCAAATATCTGATGGTGTTTGAATTACCTGAAGACAATAAAACATCATAACATTTATGTATATAAAATACTGTGCTAGCAAATAGAATAACTATGTGTGAAGCAACAGTTAAAACAATATTAAGATTATAATATGTATTATGCATACAAATGAGCAAATTAAAATATATACTTATATGCAGAAAAAATGTGAGTAAAACATCAATGTTTCCAGCAGCTTTTATTACTCTGTTTTTACAGTTGGCTTACGTTTATTCTGTACAATAATGAACAAAGTTAAGTCCAATCAATATGAGCACCAAGTGAGCCTTGAGTATCATTTTACTCGTGTTTTTGTGTACTACACAAAATATTTGCTCTGCCTTATGAATACATACTTCCATTTTCTTACCAAAAACTTTCAGTGATAAAGTAACTACAATATGCAAATATTCTGAACTTGAGAATACCACAGAGGTATTAAGTGACACTAGAAATGACAGCTTACAAACATGTACACTCGGCCAATTATTGGCGACTTCTTCAGGAAAAGTAAATGTAATAGATATGAAAGTGAAATTTGTTAAAATAATAGAAAACAACTAACGTTTTCAGTGATCACAGACTACACTACTAACATGTTATGCTATAATAGAGCCAAAAAAAGGGGAAATTGTCACACAGCCTCGAATAACAAAACTTTTGATGTCTCTTAAAATAAGTTTTAGATTTAATTATGACCAAGTAAACATTATATAATGAGTACTCCATAAAATATTTACATATAAAATACTTAATAAGGTGGATATTTCTGATGTCATTTTATTGGACGGATGTACACTATGGCACATAAATAGCAAGATATCACAATAATTATACTTTTCTAGCTGCTTAGAAACTCTATCATTACACTCTTTAAAAAAGGATTTATATATGAGTGTGGAAAGCAGAGTTAATTTCCGTTTGTCTGAGTTTTTTTCCGCATTTCTCGAAGTTTGACTCTCCACATTTCATGACTAGACTGTACATCACAAAGATCACGAGCTGGTCCAGAATTTGAGGATATGCTATGTATAGAGAATTAAATCATCAATTTAATAAGATGTCTTAGACTGGTGATATACAGTTTACAGCAAACTAAGCTTCATCCACAGTTTTTAGGTAATTCAAGTACTATAACTTTTTATATACGGTATATACTACGATAAAATAAATAGAAACCCAAACCTTTATTTTGAGTTTGCATTTAAATTGTGAGATTCAATATTTTTATATAACACAATATCCTTTACCTCTGATTAAAATGAGCTTGGCTGTAATTGATGGCCTCTGCACCTGATGCTGGCCGTGGAAGTACGGGAGCCAAACAATCTGTAAATTACGTAATTCAAACTGAACATTTAGTCATGTAATTAATTGTTTGTGTGTGTATATAAACACACACATACAATTAACATGATAACTATGGTTGGTTCTTCCATTATAATACAAAATGAAGCAAATGGTATCTGAGGTGAATCTTGAGTTACTACATAATAATTATTAATTAAAAGGTTTTTACAATTAATCAGTATTATGGCAAAAGGTTTGAATATCAATGCAGAATCTTTAATCAGTAGTCCCAATCAACCACGTTTATATACATAAGTAGCCATTTAAAATAGGATTTCAAGGTTACTATTACTGAGATAGCAATGAAAATTTATGATATGCTTAGTAAGCTGTAATGTCAGCCTGACAGCAGTCCAAAGACTGACAAGTGAAGATGTGATAGCTGTAATGTCAGCCTGACAATGATAGCTGTAATGTCAGCCTGACAGCAGTCCAAAGACTGACAAGTGAAGATGTGATAGCTGTAATGTCAGCCTGACAAGTGAAGATGTGATGCAGTCCAAAGACTGACAAGTGAAGATGTAATAGCTGTAATGTCAGCCTGACAGCAGTCCAAAGACTGACAAGTGAAGATGTGATAGCTGTAATGTCAGCCTGACAGCAGTCCAAAGACTGACAAGTGAAGATGTAATAGCTGTAATATCAGCCTGACAGCAGTCCATAGACTGACAAGTGAAGATGTGATAGCTGTAATGTCAGCCTGACAGCAGTCCAAAGACTGACAAGTGAAGATTTGTCAGGCTGACATTACAGCTATCACATCTTCACTTGTCAGTCTTTGGACTGCTGTCAGGCTGACATTACAGCTATCACATCTTCACTTGTCAGTCTTTGGACTGCTGTCAGGCTGACATTACA